CTGATGCTGAAGATGACCAATGAGATTCAACCGCTCACATGACGCACACTTCTGCGTCCAGATCAGAATCTTTCTGAACCCGTCCGAGCCGGAGAGAAATCTAACAGAGCCCGGCCCCGACAGGCTTTGAGTTTTTTGTGTCTGAGCCCGACCCGACACTGATGCAGTTAATGTAATCTGCGTTGCGTTTGTGTCACTCATCCCTGACACAGACGTGTTGCTTGTTTTCCCAGATTATCGAGAAAAAAAAAAAAATCCGACCAGCCGAAGTGGCTGACCTGACTCAAACCCAAATATCAGCTTTGCACACGATACATGAGCCTGATATATCACGAGTCAGGCTCAGCCGTCAATCATGACTTCTCAGACCGTTTTTTTTTACATCAATTAACTCATTAAAGCCAAAATTAACATAAACACGAACACTTGAACACACTTCAGGGGGATATGAACAACCTAAAATGACAAAAACCCATCCACTAACACTAAGGGATGGTGTTTCCAACCCCTTCTAAACCCAGCTTCTACTATCTGAATGTACTTTATTTTATATATTCCCTCCAAAACAGTCTGTGCTGCAACGAAGAGCATTTATATTATGGCAGGCTTCTTTTAGTGTCAAACCTCAGGGTGGGATTGCACGGGAGGAATCTGAGCTCACAGTGTCAGTGTTTCTAAAAGCCTTGCTCGGCAGTGAAGTGACCTATAAAAATCATAAAATACAAAAAATGACATTTAGTGTCTTCTGGGTTTGACTTTGCAGCAACTCAAATACCATATGTAACCAGCAGCAGCTTGAAAACAACACAATGGCAACTGACAACTTTGAACAAAGGGAGCTGCTGAGTTTATAACCAGGAAGCATATTCGATCTTATTGGTATAAAAAAACAGCAGAAAAAAATATATTATTATATATTATATAAATATAAAATATATGCCTGTGGGACGCTAAGAAAACCTCAGACGTAGTGTTTTCTCTGCAGCAGTTTTTCACCATCCACATGTATCAGAGAATCTATGGCACGATCATCAGGGAAAAGAGAAAGTCAAAGTATCTTTTCTGCAGACAGTTGATTTTCTGCTGCATCTGCTGTTATTTTTTTTCTTGCCTTCTGCTCAGAGCTTTATCTCCAACAATAACTGCACTTTTTTTTTTCTAACCCTTTTCACATTTTCTGATACTGTTAAATAAATTTAAATATATTATCATTAGTCAGAAAACTGCAGAAACGGAGATGATTGGAAACAGTGACGTAGACTCTCACAACCCCTTGCTGATTGGGTGTTTTCAGCCACGACAGAGAGTCTTCAATGATTCGTCAGGCTCCTATCACATGACCCCGTTCTGGAAGAAAGATGAGCAGGGGGTGGAGCGGGTCGTCCTCTAACCAGAAGGTGGACAGTTTGATCCCGGTCTTCCCCGTTGCACATGCCAAAGTGTCCTTGGGCGAGATACAAATTGCCCCTGAAAGCTGTGCTGTTCTCATGGATGCCCATAGATCCACTGTACGACTGTGTGTAAATAGATAAATGGCAAAAAAACCTGGGGATCAAATAGACTTGTTACGTCCTGCTCCTCCCTTCACCTACGTGTTAAGCATGTTCTCTGTGTCAGTTAGTTGGTTCAAAAGAATCTGAACATTGCTATGTAATGACTCAGAGTGAAAATTAACAGTTTGTACTATACATCACCATTATGAGCTGACCTGAAAATGAATGGCTGCAAGTGGTTACCATGGGAATCCTTTCCATCCATGATATGAACCATGTATTATTTATTAATAGCCTACTTTATTCATGTAATTTACACAAAATACAAATATATATATAATGTTTTACTCACAAACCAAAATATCCCACAATACTGTGGTTGATTTTGATTATTGAACTATTGCAAATTATTTGTAATGCATCGCTCCTGTGTTCAAGCCAGATCTCTGCATCAAACGGGGCAGGAGAAAGTACAACAAATATAACACTGGGCATCGTGAGTGATTTACTGAGTAGACCACACACGAGAGGCGGTTTCAGGAGGTACAGTGAGTCGTCCTCTAACCACAAGGTTGGCGGTTTGATCCCAGTTTCCACATGCTTGAGTGTCCTGATTGGCCCAGATTGCTGTGCCAACAGTTAAATAGAGAAAGTGCTGCACAGAGAAGCACTGTATGAACGTGTGTGTGAATGGGTGTACTGCAAAGTGCTAGACGGATGGATGAACAGCACCCGTCTGACCACCAGAGATTAACGGTTTGAGTTCACTGTAAATCCCAGTGTTATGGTTGACAATGTTAGAGTGTAACAAAGTTTGGAAAGCTTGTAAGCCCTGAAAGAGGACGTTCATCGCTGTGGTGAGTTACAGAACGATCAAGGTCATAGTTAAAAGACACTTGAGGGACATCAGCACTTTGAGCTCTGTCTTCAGCCTTTCTGTTCTTCCTGTGTCGGCTCGTGGGGCATTAGTAGAATATTATTCAGTCCAGCAAAACAGAAACAACACAACCAAGAACTATTTGTGGTGTAGAGAGAAAACACAAGGAACACTGCTGAGCACATACAATGGAAAGCCTCTGGAAAATAATGCAGTCACACCCTGAGTACGTCTGTGTGATGTGTGCATGTGTGAGAAAGAGAGAGTGTGTGTGTGCATGCATGTGTGTGTCACACTGACATCCCTTTTACCTCCATGCATCAGACTGAATAACTAAGCTGCTGAACTTTAAAAGCCATAATACACTTGGTGCAGCAAGGTTGATGCAAAGTATAACATAGACAATTAAATGTGAAATGCAACAGACATTTTCCCTCAGTTTGAGATGTGATAACTGACCACTGTACAGAGAACACACCAGTTTGATTCCGGCAAAGATATGTTCTGTTCTCTGGTGTCACCCCCAGCTTACACATCTGCTCAAATCTTCTTTTTGACAGTATTCAAATATTCCTCAGGCTCAGATCTTTTGAATGTGCACAAATAATCCAGCTCAGAATATCAGTGGTCCTTGCCATGGTTAATTTCATTGCTGAGCTGCTTCAGACAGACGTTCTGCCTCTTTGACATCAGGAACCAGACACAAACTAGAACTCACACAAATACAGACATACTCACAATCCTTTATTTAATCGGGTTCATAAAATACCACTGTGCTGTATACGTGTAGGACGTGATCAGACTCAACTTGCCATGAACACTGTTGCAATTGTTTTTTAATATACTAATATATATTTATAATATATAAATATGGAAATTGTCACTGGATTTAAATAGCAATTCACCAGCAGTTATATACACAGCACTTTTACCACCACATACTATTCCTACACCGTCAGCATAGCCAGGTTCCGTATGTTGCCCAAGGATGCCGACTGGAGGAGCCAGGCATCGAACCAACAAGCTTATGTTTAGTGGACGATCCCCTCTACCTCCTGGGCCACAGACACCATTGAATAGAAAATTCTGATCCTGAATAGAAAAACAATAATCATCCATTTCTGCTCATTGTCACAACACTGAGAAAGCATTTAAATCTGTGTGGTGTATGTTCATGCACTGGAGTTCTGCACAATGGCTGGAAACCACTGTCATTAGACCTCATATCACTGTGTCAACCCAATCGATAAGTGTTCGAGTTCATACTGTCGATCGTCTCCTGTCCAGTTTGAAAGCGCTGTAATTTTCTATGGATAAAAAAATCAAGGAAAACTCTTATTATCCTGAAAATAAGAGAAATGACATCAATATAAACCTGCCTGGCTTGGCTTAAAGCACACATCGAGTCATAAATTACAAATGTACTTACAATGTTTGAGTGTAGACCACGTTCATTGTAAAATCTTTAGAAAGCAATTGTTTTAGCGCTACAGGGGCCGTTACACCAAACAAGACATAAAAAATGGGTTTTCCTCAGTCAAAGCTCTTGAAAATGGCCCGAAACATCAGCGGGCTCAGTTCAGATGCGCAGGCCGTCCCGAACCACTTATCAAAGTGAACGCAGCACAAGGTCCAAGGGCTGGATTCCCCCTAGGCCGCGTGCTCACATTCAAAATGGATGTGCTCACTAAGTCAGCTGAATGAAATAAAATAATAATGCCGTGAGTTAATAATACATGAACAGACATGGAAGTCAGCGATACGGGACTGACAGGAAGAGAGGAGACGGTAACAGCGTCGTGCTACCATCACAGAACCTGGAAAATAAAAGTACAAAAAATGACACATGCTTAACATGAACCATAACTGAACATTACACACAGTTATGAGGAAACATTCTGTGGGAGCAGAAGTCACAGAAATGTACGAAACATTTGTGTTGGACGAATAAATAAAAATGTGATGGGACAAATGAAAATGAATAACAGTCGCCTACAATCGGATTCAGCCTCCTGCACATACTTTCTACCTGCTGTGTGAGTGTGTGAGTGTCCTGCAGGCCCAGTAACCTAGAGAGTGATAACAGGGTCTGGGTACCAAGACAAAGGATGACAGGATCCCAGGTGACTCTGGGACTTGTTCTCCTCTGATGCTCTCACCCAGCAGTGTTTCACCAGAGGTTAAAACTGCAGCGTTCTCCAGTCCTCTCCTCTACATGCACATGATTCCAGGAGCACGACCTCCTCTCTTATCTCTGTTTTTTGTCCTCGTGCTCTCTGCAGGCACTTGCATCACAATCGAGATGGCAGCCGATCTAAAAGTTACGATTTCATTGACGTGCGCTGTTTCTCAGTGGATCACACGCACGCCGAATTTCACAGAAGATGTTATTCGTGTTAGTAAAGCCACAATTCGTCCTCGAGGATGTGCGACATGTGCGCGCTGATTGAGGGAAGATTCAATTGCGTGAAATTGTAATCGAGTTTGGCACACAGCAGCGCCGGGGACACAATACCGAGGCACATCTCAGGTTGCAGAGCGATAACCTCCAACAAAACCACTGACGATCTCATGACCTCTCATCCACCACAGCTCTCACACACAGGACCCAGCGTAACAGCAGCTCTCACCTCCACAAAGAACCAGAGAGTCAGCGCCACACCGGCCACAGGATTCCCCATGTCCCCGCCGGGAGGAGGGTGAGAGCCGAGCTCCGCTTCTGGACGAGAGGAGGGCGAGAAGAGGAGGAAGAGGAGGAGGAGGAGGAGGAGAGATCGCTCCTGTATCACCACTTCCGATTCATCCCGGTGTCAGAGACGCATCACATCCAGAGGGTCCGACACGGAGTCGCACGGTGACAGGACCCCGCAGCCCGGTGACGCTCCCACGGCTCCACGGACGGAGATTGACGGTGTGATGGAGTCTGCGTTCGTCTGTGATGCTGCTTTATTCCACGCCCCTTTCCCAGCCTCCCCCAACCCCTAGCCGCCAACACACATTCAACATATCTCAATAATAATCATCATCATTTATTCCTACATCTGATCTTTCATAAAGGTTTTTATCGATATTTTAAATTCTAATATTACTTTACATTCTCTGGTAATATTCTGAGTTCCCTCATTTGGATTCATTTTGCGTTCAAACACAATATCTTGCCTTCTCTTGTAATATTTTGTGTTTCCTTGCAGTATTTTGCACATTGAGCACACAAAGACATTATTCACAGTTGGTGGGAAACATATTCATCATTTTACGAAATGCCTGTAGAAATGCACAGGTTATATAAAGTGCATAAAATCTATAAAAACTATGATTTTATTAATATTATTGAACTCTGAAGAGGTAAAGAACATTTTAGATTGAACAAAGGTGGAGATTAACCAACAGTTTTTACATCGACATCAATATAAGTGTAAATGCACTTATTAAAAACATAGCAAAGGATTGTCAGTTTTTCTAATCTGTAATCTGTCCATCTACTTTCTCTCTTTCCTGACAGTGTTGCAGAAATGCATGTGTTCTTCACCTTTTCCTGGTTCAGAGGTGGACATGGGGTGTTTATTATCAATCTTACCTTGTTTAACAAAACTATGTTTCTGTTGCTGTACCAAATGAGGGGGAATCCATTACTATGGCACATCTCTCAGTAGTAAATACAACAATATGTTGAAATAAAAATTATGTTATACAGTTATTAACTATTTAAATACAGGGACCTATTTTTCCTAATGTAGACTGTGTTTCTATTTTTTACCAAGCATAAAAATGAGTTTTATAAGACATGTTATTCCTTCTCTGTATTATTGACTTTCTCTGGATTTCCAACCTCAACCTGGTCGTTTTCTTCACAGGCTTCAGATTACTGTCAGTTCAGCTCATGCAGACACCTCATGTTAACACATATTTCCTTTTGAGGCTGTCCGAACAGATCAGACACAGTATTTCATGAGTGAGACACTGTGTGCTGTATTATCAACCCTCTCCTCTAACAATTCCTGCTGATTGACTAGATATGTATTTACAGTATTATAGTATAGTAAAGTATATGTTAACAGTACTTTACAGCTATCTGTTCTTTTCTTTAAGCTTTTAATGATCCTTGAGAGTTTCTCTCTTGATGCTTGTGTGTATTTCATACTGTCGGTCAGCTGTGGCACGTAATGGGGCGTTTTACATTCAGCACCACGGACAGCACCTGATCAGACACAGGCAGCTGAGACAGGGGAGACAGATGCTGTGTGTGTGTGTGTGTGTGTGTGTGTGTGTGTGTGTGTGTGTGTGTGTGTGCATGTGTGTGTGTGCAGCCGTGGATTTTTCGATGGTCCAACAGAGCAGGAAGCGTGTGGTCTGGATGATTTCACCCACATCTCCAGGAAAACCACTGGGTAATGAGGCCAGAGTGACATCACGTGAAACACACTGGCCCAAAAAGACATAGCTCCATAAACAGGGACAGGTAGCACTATAGTAATATTAGCAGTTATAGTAATTCCTGACAGTGAGAGCGTCAGTAGACACAGCAACAGCACAACACCAGGACCCTGAAACTGAAGCAGATATAAGTGGAATTATTATTATGACGGTTTTGATTAACATTAAAATCAAATTTCAAAGAAGCCCCTTTTTCACTTGAGTAACATTTCATAAATCAGACATGATCTGTCTGAAAGATAAGATGAGATAAGATAATCCTTTAACAGTCCCACAATTTTACAATGTTACAGCAGCAGAGTCAAAAATCAGTTAAGTAATCATAACTAAACATGTAATACTTGTAATTGAGTAGAACTAAAATATACAGAGTAAACTGAATATTTGCACAGAGAATTGCACAGAGAGAACTGAATATGGCAGAGTTAAAAAAGTTAAATTTAAAGTGCGGTATATTGAAGTCTGTGGTTTTCTGCAGGGAGCAGTTAGTCTTACAGCTGCAGGAAGGAATGACCTGCGATACCTACCCTTTAGCTACTTCGGGAGGGGATATGTCTATTACTGAAAAAGCGGCCCAGTACTGTGATGTGTGTGTCCTGCAGGGGGCGGGACTGGTTGTCCATCAGGGACGACAGCTTCTCCATCATCCGCCTCTGTCCCACCACCTACACTGGGTCAAGGGGGTATCCTAAGACAGAGCTGGCCCTCCATATCAGTCTGTCCAGTCTCCTCCTGTCAGCAGTGGAAATGCTGCTGCATCAGCAGTAAGATGCAGAAGAGTGAGTCCACACCTCTTTTACCTCTAGACTTGATTGTTGTAATGTATTATTCTCAGGCTCAACTAGTAAGTCTTCAAAGACTCCGCAGCTTGTCCAAACTGCTGCATCGCATGTCCTGACAAGAACCAAGAAAACAGATCATGTTTTTTCTGCATTAGCTTCACTACACTGTCTTCTTGTTAAATCTAAAATAGAATATCTAGGATCGATCCAGGATCGCACACGTGGAAGGGCGGATATGGGCTCGAGCATTTGCAGAGTGTTGAGTCAGTGAGTTGCTGCCAACGTGGGAGGTGTTATCCAGTCTTGTGAAATGATTGTAGTACTTTCTCCCTGGCAGCAGCACTGAATGGCATGTTTTAGCTGGACCATCACACACATAAGAGTGTTGGTATTTGTCATCACCTAAGTGTACAGACACAGATTGTGGTTAGAAGTGCAGCCTCTCTAAAAGCTGTGGTTATAACACTACTGTCACGCCATGTGAGTCTGTGTTCACTATTGATTTCAGTAAGGTAACTTCATGAGAGAGTGAGTGTGTGTATGTGTGTGCGTGTGTGTGTGTGTGTGTGTGTGTGTGTGTGTGTGCGTTTGTGTGTGTATCCTCTGGGGGAGAGACCCTGGTGTGAGTGTGTGTATGTAATGGAGGGAGTGAATGAACACATGTAATACAGTATAATGAGAGCCATCCCCCTCTCCTCATACACACACACACACACACAGCATGTACCACATGTGCGATAATAATGGCTTGAATAATGGCTTGAATTTATATAGCACCTTTCACAGGACCCAAAGACGCTTTGCATATTGTTTGTGAGGACAAGACAGAAGAGAAATGAAAAAAAGAAGAGAAAACAGGATAGAATTTAGCAGCAGGGTGGAGCATTAACTGAGGCCAAAGGCCTTAATGAAGAAGTGGTGCTTGAGGAGAGATTCAGCATCTTTTTGAGGTGGAAGAAAACAAATTCGGTGACGGATTTGAAGGAGAAGGTGGAGTCAAGAATAATTCCCAGGTTGCGGACGCCTGGGGAGGGGGAGATGGAGCAGCCGTCGATGTTGAGGAGGAGATCTCCAACCTTCATGAGCAGAGCCTGGGGGGGGGCACAACCATGAGCTCTGTCTTACTTCTATTCAGTTTCAGGAGGTTTGATGGCATCCAGATTTTTATGTCGTGCATGCAGTTGACTAGTGACTGGGGGGGAGCTGAGCAGAAGGATGAGTGCTTAGGTAGAGGTGGGTGTTGTCTGTGTAAGAGTGACTTTGCCTCAGTAGATCTTGTGTTCATTGTATCTGTAGCATAGGAGGTATTTAGCGATTGAAGTGCGATATAAATTCTACTCGTTGAAGAGTCGGTGTATCTATATTTGTGAATACAGCTGAATTGTGACAAGGTCAGTTGTGTCAGTGCTCAGATTCACTGCTCCTTCTCTGCGTGTTCATATGAAATATTGATGTTTTTAAGCAAACTAGGACGTAATTATTCATTCTGATTCAAAACATTACAAATGTTGACTTCATCTTTGATGATTATTACCAATTAGCCAATAATCAAATCTGCTCCTTCCTGTGCACACCACCGGTTTGAGCAGCTAGAATATAAATCAATAAATTAAATATCAATTATTGGGCGTTTCGAACTGAACTGAATGTTGAGTAGGTTTTTCATTTTGGCTCTGACGCGACACTGAAATGCGCAACACTGCCTCACTTTGTTTTCTGTGCTGAGATTAGATTTGAGTGTGGCAAAGAAAAGTCATACCAGACTTATTTCAGACATAAAGAGAAAATACACCACTACAATAAAAACATGTCCAGGGCTTCAACAATATTTATTTGTATAGCGCCAAGTCAGAAAATACATTATCTCAAGGCACTTCACAGAGTAAGGATCAACTAAAGGTAATGTCTAGCGGAACCAGACTTATTGTAGATGTAGATCTGCGTGGACTGGTTGGGGTGAGCAATGGAGGAATAGCGGAAAGAGGGGAGGAAAAGAGGGGAGAGGTGAGAGAGGGGGGAGGAGAGGTAGAGAAAGACGAATAATAACTGTCTAACTGACTGGTTGTTATAATGACACAAGTAAGAGTGATATTTATGGAAGTAATGTTGTTATTAATGATAGCAGAACCAGTTCATAATAACAATGATCATATTAATAATAATAATTGAGAGAAATTATTGTAGGGATTTGTTTTTGGCGAGCCAGCCTTCAGATTCCCAAAATATGTCTCGTACAGAAAATTATTAATTTGATAAGAAACACAAAGTTAATAATGTTATCTGATATTTCTGGTTCTTGAAAGAAACATATTTAGGAACTACATTAATCTACAATCTACTGAGAATTACACAGTGCAACACAGGCAGCGCGCCAACATTTTATCTGGCTCACCTTCCTGTTGCAGTCAAAAGGGATTAGCGCGTTCGAGCAGTAACCATTTAAACAGTCCCCTGATGTTCGCTGAACAAAGATCACAACACTGATGTTATCCAACAGCAAAGCTAAACCCGGTGATGTTGCAGTAATGAGACGGACATCTGTAACCATGGTAACTGTACACACAAATGGCTCGGTAGACACAAGGGAACATTTTATTTTTGTCAAAAGAAAAAAAAACTAAAACCACTTTTTCTGTAGCGTAGAGACGGCACTGCATGAGTATCAGCAGCAGAGTTAATGACACACACACACGCACGGACACACACACACACACACACACACACACACACACTTTAACAGTTACCCGCCTCATACTTTCATCTGTTCCATTTGCAGCAGTGTCCCCAGACAAATGAGTCCTGATGTAGTAATTACTGGGTATCAGAGGATGTAAACACTCCAGTGCATGTCGCAGTAATCTTCAGCACAATCCAGGAAGATTACTCAGCTCTTTCACATCTTATCTCAGAGGGCTCTGCTACCATTGTAAAGGACCAACTGCAACACATGAGCACACGAGAGAATGGAAACCACTTACAATTAATCAAGAGAGCACTAGCCTCCTCATGGTTCTCCTTGATCTCCATTTTGTACGACAATAATTTATGATGCTGAACATAAACAACAGCTGATTACATTCATGTTGTCTTTTAACAACCGTGCGAGTTGTGTATTAGATGCTTTATGAAGTGTGATAGTGGAACTGATTCATATTCTTGTACAATTAAATTGAAATAAAGAAATACATTTCAAATAGAAGAGGCATTTTAAAAACAGCTCACTCATGCCGACTGGTTAGATGCTGAGGCGAGGAACGTTTCCTCCATATTTCTATTTTCTTTTCACACAGTGCTCAGCCACAGTATTAACATTGATACTGTTGTTATTGATACTGCAGGTGTAAATTATGTTCCCTGGAAATCAACTCTCACTCAGCTCCCGAGACAGATAGCAGCTGTGTGTTCCACTCTAAATATTTCATATGGTTTCATTGAAATAACTTGTTAAAGCCCGAAGAGGCCAAATCACTAAAACCATATTTCTCACAGGTTCAAAGATGAGCAATGACTAAAGAGCTACAACAGTCAAATCTCAAACTTTATTAATCTTTTACATCAATGAATTAGACATACATACAATCAATTAGTGGTTTTTGATCAATGAGTTCTCTAATGCCATATTGCATTAGAGAAAATGAATTATTATTTTGCAGATAGATCTGAAGGTGTCAAAGAATCAACATGTTTTTGTTGCATTAGAGAATGTTAACGGACACAGCAATAACATTCACATTTTTACTCTCTGATGCATTAAGTTTATTTCAACTGTCTACTGCAAATGCACTCCTACAGAGAGCAGTGACCTCGACAACAGAGAGCTAAGGACGTTCTTTGTGTGAGATTCTTGTGCACATACATAAGTGTGTACTTGAGGGGCTGTCATGAAGAACAACCAAGAAAGTGTTTCTCACTAGAACTGGTTCCTGAGATCGAGCCCAGCCTTGGGGACATGTGATTGTTACCTCAGGGACAGAAACTTCAATCAAACACAAGGCGGACGGAGTCAGCTCGTCCCACTTCAGGACACTTTTTTTTTTAAACATTTTACCATTTTAACAACAGAGAAGCAGAGCAAAGATCACGTGGTTACGTCGTAACCTTGGTTCTCTGTAAGAAGAGTCCCTCTCTCTCCGCTGTGTGAGTGTGGGCACAGAGGAGGCTCAGAGCACCTCCACCTGGACCAGATGATCAATCTGTGCAGCTGACGGCTGTTAGCTGATTGGTCCTCAGGTACAAAAGAGAGGGACGTGAGTGGAGCTCACACAGACTGAGCTGCTAGAGGCCACAGGAATTGTCGCTTTAGGTTGTGTTGAGCTTATGTTTTCATTGTTGTTGGAAGAAATACAATGTTAAAGACTGAATGGTTTGTCTTTGTTGTGGTGAGACCCTGGTGGCATTGATTGCCACAGCTACAGAGATAGTGGAGAGTCTTAACAGAACAAGGAGTTTGAAATATATCTGTTTCTGTTCTGTTTGTTTGTAAGAGAAGACACTTGTTTTGCCTGACTGAAAAAAAAAAAATCATCTCCTGCCAAAAGGTTTTTTAATGTTGACAACCACTGTGTGTAATGAAGCCTATGTCACCATATTCTGGTGCAAACACAAACTACTTCAATGAAAATGCAGCTAATTTATATTTCTTTCTCTCTGATCAGCCCCGTGTCTGTTTCTATTCCCCGAGCTTTTAAAATATATCCTAAGAATAAGGCACATTGTGGTGTGTTGCATTGAAAACAAGACCTGTTTCATTTATACCACAGCTGATTAGTTCATATCTCACATGCAGTTATAATAAGATGCATTGCCATGAGACTTTGCATGTGAATGATAAAATTAGCTGAGGGCCAACGCATCTATAAATTTAATCAGTGTACTGACGTCACCGTGAAGTGTTTATTGTACATTAATGTTCCTGTGACTTCTAATGGCACCATGTGGTTGATATCTTTGTCTTAACATGTTTAATTTGCATTCAATTATACTGGAGGTTTTAATTAATTTTTTATTTTTGTAACATTATCACAAAGGGAAACATAATTAGTTTATTTTTATTTATTTTTTCTCTTTTATTCTATATATTTCTACATAGTACTCCCTTCACTTTTTCATTGGTAATCTGTTTTAAATTTAATTGAATCCAATATTTTGTTTCCAGTCAAATACCTGCAAAACTACTAATGACATTCCCATCAGCCTGTTGTCTGTAACCAGGGGAATCCATTCGCCCTCCAGATGTATTCACAATGCTGATGAGGCTGCTACATGAGAGCTGTGTGCTGATGTGAAAGTGTAGTACACCCTCCAGCCAATTAGAAATAAGAATCAGGATGTTGTGTTGCTATGGTACAAAGGAAAGAGAGCAGCAGTGATGCAGCAAAGTCTCCCGGGGGAAGGAGATTAACATGCAACACATTAAGGAAGACATCCTGCAAACCAGAAATTACAATGATCATGGAAGTATCAAATGTAAAGTGAATGGTTGATGATACGGTTGAGAAAAATGAGTGTGAGTAGAAGCAGGTGTCTGATAATCTTGGTAGAGGTTTCTGTTCTTACCCAGAAGCTCAGCAGATGTCTCTGTACCACTCGTCTGTTGTTGGGGGGTTTCTTCTGTTGATGAATAGTTTCATCTGTTGTTGACTTGTTCGCAGTCTTTGGGTTCATCTATTGACCGTGTCTACAATACAATATTGTTTCTTCCCCCACGCTCATCCTGAGGCTGCCTCTGTGGGTGTTGTAGGAAATGTAAATGTAAGTTTGCTGCTTCAGTCTGACCTTGCGGCTCTGACCTCCCTCCAAACATTAAAACTGTACGAAGACACGTTGAGTGTGTGTGACTATGAAAAATGTAAACCACAAAAGGAGGCTGGGAAACTATTTCTCTCTATTTTGATCTGGAACATCAAGCAGTTTTAGCTCAAATGAAACTATGGAGCACTTTACAGCCGTCAAACATTAAAGCTACATTTGAGATGATCTTAAGTTTCTCTCCTTTTAGAAACAACTTGATAAGATCATGTCTGTCAGTGTTGTGTTTACATCTCCTGTTACATCCATTTAAAGTCACTGAGCATTGTGAGCAGCTAAAACTCCACATGGCCTCTAATTTGAGTCATTGCTGCCATCTGGTGGTCATCTAGTTGGCATCATTTGCACAAACAGTGCACAAACACACGCACACACACCTCAGCCACATGTCATGGTCTTCCTCAGCAGATGGAGTTGATCACTTGGTGCTCATACTGGATATGAGGAAGGTGATAACCCATGTCACTGTAGCCAGATGTGAAATTCCTCCTTCCTGTTCAGTCCACTGACTCCTGATGACATTTGATGATCAGTTAAAAGATGAAGGTCAGGACATTGAACTGACGGCTTCTGAAATGTCCACAATTTGGATCTTGCACAACAAGTGGTTTCTCAGGTGTCATGAAGCATATCACAAGGATAATTTGACAAGAGATGTCTGATTTATCTGTATCTGCAGCAGTCTAAGTATTTTAGTTGTAAGCTGCAGAAGTACAAGGTTTATAATTGGCAGGTGAATCCTTACCACAACTGTAACAGGTTTGATTT